TATCAAAACTTTTATTTATTTTTTTATTTTTTTTATTTTAAAATCTCAAACAATTTGGTAATACTGGTTATCAATTCTCAATATCACTTTCCATCCTATTAGTCCTATATATATAGTCTAATATTGTTTTAGTTATTTGATGTTCATTAACAATGTTAGGCAAACTTTGCAAAACATTATTTTCCACCCCAATTCAGATCCCCTTTTAAAAACACTCAGTGTTGGTACTGAAAAGTCTAGTCAGGAAATGCTTAGGCTACTGTTATTATTGGCTACCCAGCAAGCAATAGCCGTCATTTCAATGTCTCGGTTAAGTATAGACCCGATATAGTCCGGCTATGTGTAACCCACTTCTAGCCCAAATAACTTTGAAATTGGTTTCATGTCGTTTTTTGGCAAAATAACTTGTGAGATGTATATGATATTCCATCATGTAAGCAAAGTAATAGCGTTTACAAGGTGTTTGGTTTCATTTCTTTGACATGTTCAATACGTAGCCTGAGCGTAGCCACGATTTAGCTCGTAGTCCGAGCGGTTAGCTGTAGCCCACTTATAGTTATTAAACCTGATTCACTGTAGTTTTTGGCCAGGCAGCACATGAGATGGTTGATATCCCATCATGTTCGCAGTGTCAATAATATCTACAAAGATATACAGTGGGGCAAAAAAGTATTTAGTCAGCCACCAATTGTGCAAGTTCTCCCACTTAAAAAGATGAGAGAGGCCTGTAATTTTCATCATAGGTATACCTCAACTATGAGAGACAAAATGAGAAAAAAAATCCAGAAAATCACATTGTAGGATTTTTAAAGAATTAATTGGTAAATTCCTCGGTAAAATAAGTATTTGGTCACCTACAAACAAGCAAGATTTCTGGCTCTCACAGACCTGTAACTTCTTATTATATGTAGCCACGATTTAGCTCTAAATTAGACGGGCTACATGTAGTCTGCTTTTATTTCACTTGGCGAAATCGAGGCAATCTGTGGTCTAATTTTAACGGTTTGGCTATAGCCCAATACCAGTAACCAGACCAGCCCCAGCCAACACACCTATGTGGGGCCCATAGGGGTTGCAACTGGGCTGATATCTGGGGCCCACCTGGGCTACCAACTGGGACCCAGCTAATTTTGTCCTCAGTTTCCATGGTGGCCCCACATGGGTTAGCACAGATGGGCTGATGATGGGCCCTTGATGGGCTCCATATAGGGCCCATATGGGTTAACCAGGTAGCTCCCATTTGGTGCCTACATGAGCCTGCCTACATGGGTTAGAGATGGGACCCAACTAGGTATTATGTAGGTCTCTTATGGGCCACAACAGGTATACATATGGGCTAATATATTTGTCTGTTTGGGTTACCTTATTTTACATTAAACCCCTAAACCCAAACATTACATTAAATCCACTAAAATTGTAAAGGTATTCAATAAACAGAAACCAGTACTTCAAGCTTCTA